AGAGAGAGAGAGAGAGAGAGAGAGAGAGAGAGAGAGAGAGAGAGAGAATAGCTGGAGAGACACAACAAAAACCATAGAAAACCACAGAAAGGAGGTAACAGAACAGAGGAGAAAGACAGAACACTGTGATGAGATAAATGAATGAGAAAGAACACAGGACTTTTCCTTTTGTAGGACCCAGAAGCTTTACAGAGAACGGGCTATGTAAGCCCCATACCACTCTACCCTACCTTTTTATCACGTCCTTTGGAACGCTTGTTCTAACACACGTTGCCCTTGTATCTAATTTACTATGTGCAAAACATTTCCACCAAATAGAATGGAATCTCCTTATGGCAGGGACTATTTCTCTTCTGTCTTTCTATTCCCCTCCACCCCATTCCCCTCAGCCAGTGCCAGGGACAAAGGGCAAGCGGCTTGTAAGGGATTCTCAGCTGATAGTGTGGGGGAGGGGGAGTCGCAGGAGGTTTAAGGATGGATGAAGAAAGCTTGGAAAACTGATGTGGTGAGTAGGATAGTGAATCAAATAGGGAGATACAAAAGAATTGCCTTGCTGCAGTGAGGATCCAGTTAAAATTATGTAACAAATTTTTAGTTAAGCCAGTCTGTGCTGTTGTGTGATTTTTTTCCAGCTATGTTCAGTAGTACACGTGTAAGAGAGAAGGCATGGTGGTAGGAGTAATCTAAGGTTGGCGCTTGGCAGGATAAGATCATCTATAGAATAAAAGACAAGGGACTTTGAGAGAAGAGGATATTGTAGAGTTAAACTGCTTTGCCAACTGGTAAAAATGGGAAAGGTAGGAGAGTGTAGCCAGTATTGATGGCCTGGGGAAGAACTGAGGAATCAAGGGATTAAAGGTCATAGTGAGGATGCAGCATTGTAAGACAGAGACAAAGATGGAATGGTAAAAGATTATGGTCAAATAGGAACTTCAGAGTTCATGAACATGGAAGTGGAACTCTTGTGGGTAATGGCAAGATCAAGGATACAACCATCTCTCTGTATATTCTATTCATACACCAAAATTTGTTTAGCTATTCTCCAACATAATTTCCCCTTAGTTTCTAGTTTGGGATTGCTACCCAAAGAGCTGCTATAAACATGTCTGTACATTGAGGTCCTTTTCCTACGGTATAATTGGGTCAAAGGGAATACACAGATTAATAACTTTTAGGGGATAGTTCCAAACTGCTTTCAGGAATAGCTGGACCCATCACAGTACCACCAACAGTGCACCAATGAGGTGGTTTTTCCCACCACCCTTCTGTCATTTTCCTCTTTTGTCATCTAGGCCAATCTGATGTGTATTGCTTTAATTTGCATATCTCTAATTATGAACAATTTAGAGGGTTTCTTTTTCAACTGGTTGTTAATAGTTTAGTTTTCTTCCTTTGACAACTGCTTGTTCATATCCTTTGCCAAATTATCTCTTGAGGAATGGATCTTAGTCTTATCAATTTGAATCAATTCTTTTTATGTCTAAGATTTGACATTTTTATCAGAGAAACTTTCTATAAGGTTGCTGTTTCTCTTCTAATTTTGACTAAAGTAGGTTTGTGCAAAAATTTTTAACTTTCTTATAGTCAAAATTATCCCATTGATCTTTTATGATCCTCTCTGTCATTTTAGTAATTAATGCTTCTTCTGTGCATAAGAGCTGAAAGGTAATTTCTTCCTTGCTCTTGGAACCATTTGTTCTAACACGAACTGTTCTTGTATCTAATTTTCTATGTACAAACTGTTTCTGCTTAATACAATGTAAGTTTCTTGTAGCAAAAACTCCTGATATCCAGTCGGTTCTTAATAAATGCTCGTTTAATAGAATTCCATTTCAGTGTTCGTATTCAGCTAATTACATTTCAGCAAAATTATATGTATATATATATATTTGTGTGTGTGTAGTATGTATATATGTAGTGTATATACATATATATATGTGTGTGTATGTGTTGTTGAGTTCTGTCTGATTGTTCATGACCCCATGGCTCAGATTTGAACACAGGCCTTCCTGACTCCAGGCCCAGTCCTCTATCTACTGAGCCACCTAGATGCCTCCTATATATACTTACACATGTATGTATGTATGTATATATATATATATGTGTGTGTGTGTGTGTGTATATCCTCCTCCCTATTCCTATGACCACTGCCTTTAACCAGGAACAGTTTTAGGCCAGGCCATCTCTAGCTGCCTCATTTCTACTCTCTCAGCTACCACAAGGAGGACAAAGAGGTCTCAGCCACCAAGTTCCCAGAGCTCTGTTTTCTGTCCAGTCCTAACTTTCCCACCACTGTATGGATCAGTCTGGAGTCCAGCCCTTCTCACCCAGGGTGCAAAAAGCACCTGCGAGGGGAACACAATGGCCCCAGGAACTCCCTGCAGAAGAGGGGATTTCCTAACCTGAAGCTTCCTAGGGAATTTCTCTTAGAATCTGGCATCAGTTACATCTCTTGTCTGCTAGACAGGGAAATCAGAGTTGCAGGCTGGGGAGGCAGATGGGGAGAGGCAGCAGGGTGAACTGAGCAAATAAAGGTAGCCATCAGCTCAAACGAGGGCCTTTAATCATCCAGATATGCTGGGCATGAGCCTGGGTTGGTGAGTTAGTCACTGTCCCCTGGACTTCCTGCTTTCCAAAAACACAGACTTTCCTGGAGACTGAAAACCCCTTAAGTCTGATCAATGCACAGTTTAAATGGCTTCTGGATTACCTCGGCTTCGGTTTATCTGCACCCCTGCCCCCAAGGGCGGTGAAGCGAGGATGCTCCTGGAGTCGAGGGTCCATGAAATGTACTTGGCTCTTGGCCTAGGGAGTTGCGGGGCAAGAGATGGTCACGATTTCCTCCTAGGATCTCCCAACCTCGCCTCCCGCAGGTGCGCAACCCAGGCATCCCAGGGCTGGCGCTTCGAACCAGGACTTTACTAGAGAGGGGGATGGGAGTGGGGGAGGGAGAAAGAAGTGGGTCCTGGGACGGATAGGATGGGGGGTTCGGGGAGCTCTGAAGCCCGGTTCCCTCGGGGTCACAGTTTGATTTCCAGCCCAGCGGGAGAGGGAATCTCCCCGAAATTTCCCCGGGCGTTGTCTGACCTGTCAGAATCTGAGATCAAGGCTTTGGGAGTGACTGGCTAGGGAGGCGTTCCCTGGGCTAGAGGAAGGAGGGGGGAGAGAGAAAAAGAAAGAGGAGAGAGGGAAGGAGGAGGAGGAAAGAGGGGAGGGGCTGGAGCAGGCAGGGGATGCACCGGAGCCGACCGAGGGGCCGTGGAGGCAGCAGCGGCAGCTGCGGCAGTGGCGGGATCGCGGCGGCGGCCCCTGGTGTCCTGCCCCCCCGGTGTCCTGGCCCCCGGAGGCGCCATGCCCCACACAGTCACTCTCCAGGGCCCCTCACCCTGGGGCTTCCGCCTGGTGGGCGGCAAGGACTTTAGTACCGCGCTCACCATCTCCCGGGTGAGTCCGGGGCCCGCGAGAGCAGATTCCGGGGAGGGGGATTGTAGGAGGGGGATCCCTGGGAGGGGTCCCGAAACAAAGGCTCTCGCAGAACTAGCGGGGGTAGGGGACGAACACAGAGTGGTGATCTGTGTCTGGGGCCGCGGTGCTGAGGGAAGGTGAAAAAAGGCTATTGCCCACCTCTGGCCTCTGAGCCCCTGCCCTGAAAAAGCCTCTTCCAAGGTTTCTGCCCCGTTAGCGCCTGGCTGGGGTGAAGGAGGGACGGATCCGTGGTCTGCGCCGCTTCTAGCTACGGAACTTCGAGACCGCGCGCTGGGCGCGATGCTCCAGGCGCTCACTCCTCTGCGCGGCGCCCCGCCCCGGAGCCAGCCGGACCCGCCAGCCCCGCCGGGCCAGGGAGGTCTGCAGCATCCATCCCCCTTTCTCTTGTAGTGTAACGCCAGCAGAACCCACTTTGAGCTCCCAGTGTATGCCCTTCCAACGAAATGTTATTGGGTCAAAGGAGTTACAACTCTCTGTGGCCCTAACCAAGCTGGACGCCCCGTAGAGTTGATACTGTCACCCTTGGGGTCTTTGAGGTCCTCCAGGTTGACAGGAGAACCCTCCCTAATCCTCCAGGTTCCAGTCCGGGAGAGGGTTTGGCTGGGTTTAGGATACTTCTACATCCCTTTCATCCGGCACATCCCTGACCTTTCCGGGACTCCAGGGGTGAAGTGATGAGGAATGTGCCCTTGGCGGGTGAGGTCTGCCCACAGTTTGTTTCTTGCGAAGAAGAAACGTTTTATTTCCCCTCACGCAATCAGTATTAGGTCCTAGAAGAACCGTACTGCCCAGCCACGTGACTAGCCCTCTGCTAGGTGGTGGGAAGGAGACAGAGAAGGGGACCTGATTGTTTAGGAAGCTCATAGACTGATGGGCAGACAGGACTCCGAGCCAAGTGACCCCTCCCTGGGGTTGCTTGTTAGAAGCAGAGAAGTAGCCAGTAGCCTTGGCAACAGGTGATCAGCTAACGTAGCTGGCACCTTTCAGACTGGCTTGAATCCTCTTTTCCACAGCAGAGTGGATATGCGAAAGAAAATTGGGCCTACAGTCCATAGGTCCATACCCTGAAATCCTTTGCTATAAACTTATATTTAGGAAATCACTGGGTATTTGGACTTTCTTCGTCCTCCCCACTCCCCAAGTTCCTTAGAGTTTGGGGCGATTTTTCTTTTTCTTTGATCTCCAGTGCCTAACGTGTAAAAATGTGCGTTATAGGTACTTAATAAATTTGTATAGGGTAGGATTGGGCTTGTCCTGGTGGAGACGATGCTGTGGCGCAACATGTCTGGTGGGGCGGAGGGCAGTGGGAAATCTGAAGCCTCCTCCTCTCCTGCCCTGTTAAGTGTGGACAACTGCACGGAAGAGAATTTACATCCCTCCCCCTCCTCCAGCCCCACCCCCACCCCACCCCCAGCTGCTCCGGAGGGCAGGAGCGGGTCACACATTTGCAGAAGGTGTTCACATCTCTATGTCAGCTCCTGTTTAATCAACTTCACTGACCTTAGGAGCTGGCAGTGGGAAGGAGGCAGTGTTTGCCTAGTTTCTGAGCAAGGCAGGGACTGGACTCTGGCCCAGAGCTGGAGATGGCTGTAGAGAGTTTTTGTCTTTGAGAAAATCCTGTGTCCTTGGAGCTCTGTAGGCATCTAATCCTTTGGAACAGAGGGGATAGAATGGCCCATAAAACTGCCATCGGCCTCAAGAGAAATCCCAGCTGTGAAAGGATGGAGTTTTCCTTTTTCTATAAACAGAAGATTGTTCATGAAATCTACACTGGCCCAAAGGGTAAAGGGCTTCAGAGTGCCTGAGTGAGGGTCCCTGGCTGGGCCAGAAAATGCAGTTGGAAACAGAAGCTGCTTGTTGTGCTGGTACTTGTCTGGGCCCTCTGGTCTCCTTTAACAGAAAGGTCTATGGGGGGCAGGGGGTTCAAGGCAGCTGATGGGGTTTGACTAGCTGCTCATGCAGAGTGAGCTGAGGAACACAGACATCTGTTAAAACAACATAAACTAGATATGCCCATGGGGGAGTCCTTGGCCTTCCAGGCATCAACATTTAGGCTAAGGAATTTCACAGACTGCTTGGGTTGGGGGATGCAAGCCTAGAGGGCTCCCATTCTGGTATGGTCTGTGGAATTTGCCCCATTGGAAAGGATTGGAAGAAGCTATTTCACACTAAAAAAAAACCATGAAAATACGTCAAAAAAATATTGTGGCACTTGGAAGCCTTCAAAATCTAGCCCAACTGTCTTTAAAACTCTGGTTTTTGTTGATATTTTGTTTTTCTATCGCCATTTCCAAATGTCCCAAATACCCAGCAATCAAGGTTTAAAATGAAAGAGAGGAAACACACACACACACACACACACACCCCAACCTTGTCTGGAAGTATATGCAGTATTACATATCCGTTGTCACCCACCTCTGCAACACAGGGAGGTATATTTTGTCCTTTTTTTTTTTAACCAACAAGAGTGGAGATGACTTATAAGTGCTACACCCAGTCACAGAGGAAAAAATAGTTTGGAATGTCAGAGGATCCAGTGGTTTGTAATTAAGTGAATTGATTTCAGGTAGGTAGATCTTGCTTTAAAAGAAAAAACATTCTATGTCAGGGAGGATTCAAATGATGAGACTCAACTTATATCAGATGGTAGAGAGAAGAGCTCTGGATCAGAGGTGGGAGCTGGATCTGTCCTCGATAGAGTAAGGCCTAGAAGGCCTAAGCCAGGTGTGACAAGGGGCCTGGAACATCTCTGTTCCTGTGATCTTTCTTGGACCACCCCCTGGTTCAGCCCATTCATCTCTCCACTTGTCACTCATGGCAGAGTGGAAATCAGTGAGATGATCCTAAGACCAAGGGAGGTGCATTTTCTTAACTTTTCTCAGACCTAAGCTTGGTCATTGAAATTACACAGCATTAAGCTTTGATTTGTTTGGTCTTAAGGTTTACAATGTTGTGGTCACTGTGTAGATTGTCAGAGAGCCACTGCCTCTGGTCAAGCCTCAAATAGAGAGCAGGAAGCAAGCAGGTAGTAGTGTAGGAGGGATGCAGGGATCCATGGTTTTATGGAAAGAGCACTGGATTCCAGTCCAAAAATCAGGATTCAAATCCAGTTCTGCATAACTGTGCAACTTTGGGAAAGCCATTTCCTTTCTTCTGGGCCTCAGTTTCCTTATCTGTCAAATGAGGGAATTGAATTAGGTTGTCTCCAGGATCTTAAATATTCTCTGCTCCATTAGAGTCAACAAACTAATGAGATCTCCAGCACTTTGTTTTTCCCCAGTAGTAAGTTTAGTTTAAATTGTCCTTGCCAGTGTTACAAGCAGCTGAGGTCAGCCAAACATTGAGTTTATGCTTCAGTGTAAGGCACTGCCCCAGCATAAGTGGCCATATATGGACTGAGAAATGAATAATACTTCAGGAGTATTGTCTGTTTCATACTACTCATCTGTTTCCTAGAAGAATGCTCAGCACTGGAAGATTATAGGGGGAGTCACTAGCAAATGGGGCAGTTTCTAGGATCCATGCAACACTTATGTCCTTTAATAGAATGTCTGACAGCAGAGCTGCTCTCCAAAGGCATGTGGGCTGTGGCTTTATCAGTGGCTCCTGGTCCTGGATGGACCCGTGTGCTTACTGCCACCAGGCAAGGTTTAGGGTTTGGCACAGGGTGGGTGTTGCTACACTACCAAAATAGTGAAGTGGCCCTTGAAGCAGACAATTTACTAACATTAGTGGAATGCCGAGCCTTGTCTCAGCACACAGTTACTCGGGGAGGAAGCTGGTCAGATGCTCAGGCCTTTAATTGTCTCAAGGATTTCAACCCACATCAGAAGGAGCTACCCATTACACAGATGGGAAAATGTAAATCAGCTGCACTGGGGGTGAAAGGGGGACTTGGTTTCTAAGTACATCCATATCAGGGCTTTTCAGAAAGCAGACCCTGGAGACAGGGTGTGGCCAGGATGGGAGAGTCCAGTGTTTAGTTCCTCTGGGTGGGTGTAGGCAATCCAGACCCAGGCCAAAGAGTGGAATTTATTTCAAGCTGGGAGAGAAACGAGAGCTTCTGTAGTCCAACCCCCTCACTGTACAGAAAAGGAACCTGAGACCCAGAGAGGAGAAGTGATTTGCCCAAGGTCACAGGGGAAGCAAGAATTCACCATTTTTTCTGTTTCACCATTTATCTCAAAGCTCTTGAGGCCCTGAAGCTGGGGCCTAAAGTGTCTTCCTGAGAGCTATTGCTAACATTCACCAAGGATTACCTTCCCCTTAAACTGACTACTCCTGGTTCCTTGACAGTCTTCTGATAAGTTTGTACCTAGTGTTGGTGGGACCTAGGTGTCCCTCCCTCTTCCAGGTGAGACGATCCTGTCCCAATCAACAGTGGGTGTCTCCAGAGGGGACCTTGGTAAAGGTCTGTAGCTTTTTTTTTTGTCAGTATTCCCATTTTTTTCAGGTAGGGAAACTAAGGCACAATTTGGTCAAATCTTTCCACAAAAGAACATCAGTTACAAAGAAGAAAAGGAAGGAAAGAAGGTGTGGCTTCTATTCCTGTTGAAAAAATATTTTATAGACTCTAATCTAAAGTACATTTAAGTCAGTGCTAAACATACTCTTACTTTTCTTTGTTCTGTTGTTCCTATCTAACATACCTGGGCAGTCTCTTTGGCCCTGCTCCAGTGTCTCCAGCACAACTTGATCCAGTCCAGGTGGCCCTCCCGGGCATTTGGGCTTGGTGGCTGCAACTGCCTAGTATTTTGGACTTGTTTCATAAATTCCAATGCTCAGCTATGGCAATCCTCTCAATGTTAAGAGCTTGGGGGGCAGCTGGATAGTGCAGGGGATAGAGCATCAGTCCTGGAGTCAGGAGGACCTGGGTTCAAATCCAGCCTCAGACATTCACTAGCTGTTCAACACTGGGTAGGTCACTTAACCCCAATTGCCTCAAAAATAAAAAAAGAGAGAGAGAGAGAGAGTTTGGGAGAGGCATCAGAACATAAGGGATAATAAACTAGACTTCAGAGTTGTGAAGAAAACCTGGGTCCTAGTCCTGCCTCTCACACATAATGTCTGTGAGCAAATCATTGAACCTCCCGGTGCCTTGGGCACTTTTCTAAGATTATAAATTGCAAAACAGGTTGCCATCTGCCTTGGTAGGAGGAATTTCCTCACTGGGAGTCTTCTTTACCAATGAAGTCATAGTTCTAGACTAAGAAAAACTACAGAGGGGAGGAAAAACAAACAT